AAAGAAGAGAAAGAAAGAAAAAAGAAAAATGAGGAGAGGAAGAAGAGGAAAGGAGGAAGAAGAGGAGGAAGAGGAGGAGAGGAAGAAGAGAAAGAAGAAAAATAATAAGAGGAGAGGAAGAAGAGAAAGAAAGAAAGAAAATAATAAGAGGAGGAGACAAAGAAGAGAAAGAAAGAAAAAAGAAAAATAAGGAGAGGAAGAAGAGAAAGAGGAAAGGAGGAAGAGGAGGAGGAAGAGGAGGAGGAGAGGAAGAAGAGAAAGAAAAAGAAAGAAAAAAGAAAAATAAGAAGAGAAGAGGAAGAAGGGGGAGAGGAAAGGAGGAAGACAGAAGAAAGTAATAAGAGGAGAGGAAGAGAAAGAAAGAAAAAATAAAAAGAAGAGGAGGAGAGAAAGAGGAGGAAGAGGAACAAAAAAGAAAAATAATCATAGGAGGAGAGGAAAGGAAGAAGAGGAGGAGGAGGAGGAGGAGAAAAAAAGGAACTACAAAAAAAGGAGAAGGAGAAAAGGAGGAGGAAGAGAGAAAGAAAAAGAAGCAGGGGAAGGAGAAGGAGGGGAGAGGAAGATAAAGAGCCCACGCCAGCCGAGCAGCCCACTCCGCTTCCGTGGGGGCACTTACTCCGCGAGAATTCGTCTTGCGCTGCCACGGTGCCCTCCATGACCTTCGGCTTCATGAGGCGAGTGCAGAGCCCATCCGCGTCCGAGGTGTAGTGCTGCCAAAGAGGGGAACGTTTATGGATTATGGATTATGCTGAAGAACCAGTTGGCTGAACATGTGTGTGGGACTACCTGCTTTGGGACCAGAGGATTTTGGTCATAGGCTTCCCTTCGATCTTGACTACCATAAAATGACCGGCTCCCAGGGACGGAATATGGTACGCGCGTGGATATTATACGCCAATAAATAAGTCATAGGTAGAAGATGGGCGGATGCTATCAATGCCACTGCTGTGGTGGCCTTTTAGAATAAAATAGAATGGAATAGACTACCAGAGTTGGGAGGGACCTTGGAGGTCATCTAATCCAGGGGCGCCAACCTTTTGGACCTCAGGGACCCCCAAACTCATCATTTTAAATCCCGCGGACCAGAGACCCTGGGAAAATCCCCCAAAAAAGTCTGCAGGAAAATCCCCCACCCCGTTTTCCTACCGATCGATCGTTCTTTATTTGGGAACACAGGATATCGTCTCCAGCGCCGTTCTCAGGGGGGGGAGAGAGAGAGACTTTTGGCTTCATGCAAGGAAAGCAGTAGAAGTCTTTCTTTCTCTCCCCCAAACTCTGCCAGAAATGAGTCTTTGCCGGCGAATCCTCTTGGAGCAAGGAGGCCTTGCAGGGCCCCAAAGACTCATTTCTGGCAGAGTTTGGGGGAGAGAAAGAACGACTTCTGCGGCATCTGCTGCTTTCCTTGCATGAAGTCAAAAGTCTTTCTCTCTCTCTCTCAAAAGACTTTGGCTGCTTTCCTTACGTGCAGCCAAAAGCAGAAGAAGTAAGAAGCGGAAAGAAGCAGCCCGGTGGCCAGGCCAGGCACGTGGGGTTAGTGGGGCAAGTCCCCCCCCCCTGCCCTTTCCCCCCACCCCTCACTACCTCGTGTTGTTCGCCATGCAAGTGACACAAACCTTGTGTTCCCGTGGGCCTTGTGTTCCTGTGCAGCCTGGATTAATTGCTTTGGGGGATGTTTTGGGAGTGACATTTCTCTGCAGACCACTAAAATTTTCTTGTGGATCACCAGTGGTTCCTGGCCCACCAGTTGGCAACCACTGGACTAGTCCAATCCCCTGATCAAGCAGGAAACACCTTGACCATTTCGGACCAATGGCTGCCCAGTCTCTTCTTTAAAACCTCCAGTGTTGAAGCACCAACAATTTCTGGAGGGAAGTTATTCCACTGATTAATTGATTTGGGAATTAGAGACTACCAGAGTTGGAAGGGACCTTGGAGGTCTTCTAGTCCAACCCCCTGCTCAGGCAGGAAATCTTAATTACCATTTCGGACAGATGGTGGTCCAATCTCTTCTTCAAAACTTCCAGAGATAATTAAGAAGATATTAGACTGTGCAGAAATGGACAGGCTGACATTGAAAATCAAACAGAAAGAAGACACAGAATATTATCAAACTTGGAACTTATTCTACCAGTGGCTGGGAAAAAAAGGGGGTGGAGAATAAGAATGGCATTTGTATTGTAAAGCAAACGAAATACCCAGACAACATGATGTTTATTCAGCACAAGGGAATGTAATGAACAGAAAATCAATAAAATATATAAAATAAAAATAAAAAAACTTCCAGTGTTGGAGCACCCACAACTCCTGGAAGCAAATGGTACTCTGTAGTATCTTATGGTACAAGTGTTGTATCTTATGATTCTTGATGAATGTATTTTCTTTTTTCTTTATGTAGACCAAGAATTTATACACCAAAGACAAATTCCTTGTTCATCCAACCACATTTGGCCAGTAAAGAATTCTATTCTATTCTATTCTATTCTATTCTATTCTATTCTATTCTATTCTGTTCTGTTCTGTTCTGTTCTGTTCTGTTCTGTTCTGTTCTGTTCTATTCTATTCTATTCTATTCCATTCCATTCACTTATTTTCTATATTCTATTCTATTCTCTTATTTTCTATTCTATTATGTTCTTTCTCATTCTATTCTATTTTTTTCTCATTCTATTCTATTCTATTCTTTCTCATTCTATTCTATTCTTTCTCATTCCATTCTATTCTTTCTCACTCCATTCTACTCTGTTCGTTCTCTTTTTTTAAAACTCTTTATTGAAATTCAAATATTAAAAAGTTTACAAAAATTTCTATAATAGAAGATGTGTCAGTACCTTTCAACATTGTTTTCTTGACAGTACAATAAATGCAATACACACAATGAATACTTGACAATTATTCACAGTATTAGTAATACTAATTCACAGTGACTCTATTCTGTTCTTTCTCATTCTATGCTATTCTATGCTATTCTATGCTATTCTATGCTATTCTATGCTATTCTATGCTATGCTATGCTATGCTATGCTATGCTATTTTAAAAAGGACACACGCCCACACAAACCCAAGCACGTACCCACGTTCCACTCAGGATGAAACTGCTTCTGGCCACCCCTGCTCCCTCTAAGGGCCCTAATTCGTGCATTTGCTATGCCCCCTTCGAAAGAAAGATGGGCCCAGGCCGCAGGGCATCTTCCAGGCTGCCAAGTCCCCATAAGTCCCAACGACCCCGCGGCCCCACCAGGGGGCAGTAGGATGCCGGGCAAGGCTGCCCCACCAGGTTCTGCTTGGAGGCTAAGGAACTTCCTCGCCCAACGTTTTACAAGCATTAACCCCACCCTCCCACCCACCCACCCTCCCACTCAAGGGAATTAACTGCTTGGTTGTCTGTCACCACCGAGAGACGCTTCCGCCAGGCGCTGCCCCAGCACAGCAGAGCCGCAGCTCCACGCTGCCGCGGCTGCCGCTTTTGCAAGAAAGCACTTTTGGTATCGCTCAGACGTGTCTTCCTGTCTCTTGCAGGGATGTGAGAGGCAGGAAACGCACAGCACGCTTAAAAGCTGCCCTTGCTGTGACCGCACTGGGTGGGGGGTCAGGCCACCAGGTTCAGGTGGGTGGGTGGGTTTCGAAGCTGGCACACTAGCTCATTCGACTTTTCTTTTCTTTTTTCCCCCCCAACCGAGGGGTGACATGATAGCAGTCTTCCAATATCTCAGGGGCTGCCCCAAAGAAGGGGGGAGTCCAGCTATTCTCCAAAGCACCTGAAGGCAGGACAAGAAGCAACGGGTGGAAACGAACCAAGGAGAGAAGCCATTTAGAGAAATTGAAGGAGAAGTTTCTTGACCGTGAGAACAATTCATCCATGGAAACGGCTTGCGCCTTTGGGAGTTGTGGAAGCATTGGAGGGTTTTAAGAAGAGATTGGACAACCAGTGTAGAATTTCTTGCTTGACCAGGAGCGTTGACTAAGAAGATCTCCATGGTCCCTTCCAGCTCTATTACGCTGCTATTCTATTCTCCAAAGCAGTGGTCACCAACCGGTGGGCCGGGGACCACTGGCGGGCCGTGAGAAAATGTTGTGGTCCGCAGAGAAATGTCTCCCCCCTCCAAAAGCCATTCATCCAGGCTGCACAGGAACACAAGGCTGCGCCACCCACATGGCCCGTGGGAACACAAGGCTTGTGTCGCTTGCATTGTGAACCACACGACGTCGTGAGGGGAAGGGGAGAAAGGGCAGAGGGGGGGGGAAACTTGCCCCATTCGCCCCACGTGTCTGGCCTGGCCACCGGGCTGCTTCTTTCCGCTTCTTTCTTTCTTCTGCTTTTGGCTGCACGCAAGGAAAGCAGCCGAAGTCTTTCTTTCTCTCCCCCAAACTCCGCCAGAAATGAGTCTTTGGGGCCCTGCAAGGCATCCTTGCTCCAAGAGGCTCACAAAGACTCATTTTTGGCAGAGTTTGGGGGAGAGAAAGAAAGACTTCTGCGGCTTCTGCTGCTTTCCTTGCATGCAGTCAAAAGTCTTTCTCTCTCTCTCTCTCTCCCCCTGAGAACGGAGCTGGAGAGGGTATCCTGCAATCCCAAATAAAGAACGATCAATCGGTAGGGAAAACGAGGTGGGGGATTTTCCTGCAGGCTTTTTTGGGGATTTTCCCAGGGTCTCTGGTCTGCGGGATTTAAAATGATGAGTTTGGTGGTCCCTGAGGTCCAAAAGGTCGGCCACTCCTGAACCACAGTCCCTGAAGGCAGAACAAGCAGCCATGGATGGAAACTAATCAAGGAGAGAAGCAATGTAGAACTAAGGAGAAATTTCCTGACAGTTAAAAAACAATGAACCAGTGGAACAACTTGCCTCCAGAAGTTGCAAATGCTCCAACACTGGAAGTTTTTAAGAAGAGGTTGGATAACCATTTGGTCTGAAATGGTATAGGGTTTCCTGCTTTGAGCAGGGGTTGGGCTAGAAGACCTCCAAGGTCCCTTCCAACTCTTGTTATTCGGAGACCCAAGGGAGGCACCCCGGGTTCCCCCTGCCAACCTTGGCCCAGCCTCACCTCCACGAGTTGCATGAGGTTTTCGAAGTAGACCTCTTCGTCGATGCTCAGCTTGCTGGAGGAGTAGATGATGCGGTAATGCTCCACCTTGCCTTCACAGCTGACGCAGAGGGTGTAGTCGCCCGGGTAGTTGGTGCTCTCGCGCACAAGGAACAGGCCCGTCTCCGGAGGGTAGAGCAGCCGCTCCGCTTGCTCCCGCGTGATCTTCCCGTGAAACCAGCTGCAGGAGGGGGAAAAAGAGACCAAGAGGACAGTCAGAAGGTCCCAGCGCTGGCCTCAACGAGGGCTAGAAACTTATTTCTTCTTCACAGAAGTTCCACCTCCGTGGCAGAGACTGGCAGAACAAATCCATGTTTTCTCTCTATATCGGGGGGTGAGCAAAAAACGAGTCAAAATAAAAGCCGTACGTGTCTAGCTTGCACGGTGGACGTTTATTTGTATTTCACTAGTTCGATATCCATGCTTCGCTACGAAACTATGTGTGGTCGGGCTTAGTTTTGGGGGAGGAAAATAAGGGAGGGGGAATTGTGGCTCTGCCTGTCAGCCTCCATCGGCATTCATCTGGCTAGCATCCTGTCAGTGTGTGAGAGAGTTGAGGGCTGTTTGGAAACTGAAACAGTATTTGCTATGTGAGCCTGGGCGTGGCTTAGCTCAACTGTTCTGTACTCAAGCTACATGGTGCTGTGAAACCAAAACTGAACCTCCTCTCCTCTGCTTGTGTTTTGCATTTGGAAGAGATTTCTTTTCAAGTGGGGAGGGGGAGTAGAACTCCTTAGCATCAGAGCGTGTTAATAATAATAATAATATAGGAAATATGAATGCTCTGATGGTTTTTTTGAAAAATCCTTTCTTAGTGAGCACCTAGAAGCCAAGAGGAACATAAGTGTCAAAATTTAAGTTTGTAGGCTTTATAGTTCTGGAGATTTTGTGATAATGTGTGAGTGGTATTTCGTATATATATGTATATATATATATGTTTTCTTAAGTTTTTGCGGGTACTTACATGTATGGTATTCAGCTTTGTTCGGGTATTTTCCCACGTCATTATAGTTGTGCTTTTAAAACACAATACAGAAGCCTGAGGATGGCAGATGAGATTCTGCCGAAACGTTGCTACAACTTTAAAAGCACAACTACAATGATGTGGGAAAATACCCGAACAAAGCCGAATACCATACATGTAAGTGCCCGCGAAAACTTAAGAAAACACACACGCACGCACACATATATATTTATATATTTATATTTATTTATTTCTCATTTCCAATTGATCTCCTGGATGTGGCCCAGAGGCTGTCAAATGCCCGGTGAGAGGTATTACTTACGGCATGAGGCTGAGCTTGATACCAGTTTTCACCCCTTCGCGCTTCTGAACATAGTTGGCTGGGATAATCCCTTCGCGTCCCACCTTGTTTTTGGCTTTGTACCAGTTGGGGTCCTGGAAGAGGGAAACCATGGTTAGCAAGAACCAGGGTGGATAAAAATC